CAGCAGCAGCGTAGTATATCCGTCTGGGGCACTCGAGATTCCGTGACAGAAATTACAGATTAGGGTTAGGGTTATGGTTAGAAATTAGACTTGTAAATCTGGGTTATAGCCATAACGAAAAAGAAAGACCAGAAATGGCGAAAATTCCTCATGAGATATAAACAATAGCGGAAGAGGGGCGGGAACTCGTCAGCATGCATGAAACTCACATTTAGAGAAGTAGACGACTCGAAACATGGCATGTGGCAGAAGGAAATAGTAGACGACAACTATTACACAGCATATAGTTAACCCACGTGCTGAGGCGACACGTAAAAAACTCCGTGATCGTGTTCCGTACCTAAAAACGTTACCTTAAGAGGGATTTAGTTCACTTTTTTAACCAAATTTTTATAGGGTTGTTTTTTACAATGATATGTAGGTGTCCTTTTCAGGAAACATATTTTTTTCAAAATGCTACAAATTTACACAAAGTATAATTACAGACAATAATTAAGCTCATTATGGAGCAGTATATTAAGATAAATTACGAATGTATAATAAAAATAAGAGGAAAAAAGGAAAATTCAATAAAGTAATAACTACATTACTGTCGATGAATATAATTGCACGAAGCAGTATTTTCAACCGTGATAATAGACATCGCAGATATTTAAGATTTGTTTTTTGTTGGAAAAATTCATGCACTTTCCCATTGCTAAATTTTACAACGAAATGTATATTGATTATTGTGAACTTTTATTGCTTTGCGAGAAATTTGTGTTGAAATGTCGTTTTTCGTTATGGTGCATATTAGACGTGAGACTGGTGTATACTGTCAATCTATCGGGATTAACACGCCGTCCACGAGTCGGGATTTGCGATTTCATAGCACAACAGCGTCAATCTACATCTAAATATTCTCTACCGCGCTTCCTTGTTTAGCTCAGAATATAAATAGTCTACCTCTCACTTGTATCAGTCACGTGACAAAGTTACAGGAGTCGAATTAGCTACCTGTTAATTATATTAATAATATTGAAATGCACTCACTGCTTCGACAGGATATCCATTCCGGCGGCAGAGAAGGCGAAATGTACGGAGTTGTTGGAAAAGCACTTCTCGTAGAAGGACGTTCCGCAGGCGAATACCTGCACGTCTGGATGCGCTACGAGATAGCTTTCCGGCTCAGAAATCATACCTGTAACAAAGCAGAAGCAGATGACGACAACACTTAACTTTCACGTACCTTCGTAATATATCTATGTGAGCGTGTGTTTGCGTGCGTGCGTGTGTGTGTGTGTGTACGTCCTCGTGCGTACGTGCGCGCGCGCACGTGTACGGTGAACACGCTTGTCTCCTATTACACAACACGTGTAAGCAATGTGTAGTATATAAATCGCCTAAATGTTTATACTGTGATGCAATTCACAGACGACCCAAGTGTCCCGGTCTCACCGGGATCGTCCCGGTGCGACATGCTGGTCCCGGTGCCCCCTTAAGAGTCCAGAAAGTCCCGGTCGTACATTTTTCAGCCATATTTTCAAATTTACATTAGTAAATTACTAAATTTGCCGTGGTTGTTGTTGTACTTTGATTCTAGCGAACAATAAAAGGCCACAAACCAACTAGAACCAAGAACATTTGTGTGCCAACGTATAGCACGAGACTACACTTAATGTTGCGTGTGAAAGAGAGGAGAAGGTTTTTTGTAGGCTTATCTCGCACCAACACGCACACAAGCAGCATATTTCGGTAGAGTGCCGTGTCCGTACAATAGCAAAGCTGCAGTATATTTACTTGAAACAGCCATTTCACTGAAATGGATAAATTTACATTTTCAGCAGAAAGAGCATTGCCAGCTCCTATGTGAAGTACCTTCAGCTTTCATTACTATAGCGTTTTTTGACGACGTACAACTATCGTATATCCTATGGATATACTAATAGTCTATATGTCTATATATATTATATACCTTGCACACGTTTGAAAAACGATGTCCAGTCGTTTGATGGTTGATCTTCATGGATTACTTGAATGTCAAACTTGTGCCCGTGCTTCTTCCTCAGTGCGTCTATTATACGAGAAAGATCATTAAGTTGAACGTATTAAAAATTCTATAACTAACGGCATCGTCACCATCGACGTCATCGCTGCCATTACGATCAGCGTAACGAGAACATCGTTACTCATTGTGTTCCGTTTTCCTTTTCGTTAAAATTAACTAAAGCCGTTGCTCTCTCCGTTGTGATTTAGAAAGCATTCGCTTCCATTGCATGTGGCGATCCGTTACATATGTCTATGAGCGTCTACACATCCTAGAATATAGTTCGCCCGTATGCGCAATGATTTCACGAAAATAACAAAGTGTGTGGCGATTGGCTTGGAATCTCACACATGCAGAGCCAATCGTCCGATTAGCTACAGCTAACCGCTGGGGTCGTACCAATGAGGAATTTAATAAGTTCCATTGAGTTGCCTCCATCAGCAGTGGCGAAGTCCACAAGCAAAAAGCAGCCAT